ATGCAACAAAGACCATGAGCATGAACATGTGATGGGAGGATCACGTGTCACAGCTGCTGCTGGACTTTACACCAAAGAGCTGGCACGTGAGATCATCAAGGGCTTGGAGGAAGAGTTTGAAAAGACCTATGGATGTGGCTTCATCCATGAGACCTTGGCAGTTGATGGAGCTGAGACTGATGGCGACCTTGAAGAAGCCTTGGATCGCGAAGTCGATCCCCCAATGGAATTTAGAGACATCGATGAAAGCGACGATGAAGCTCAAGTTCTACCAGCAAACATGAAGGTTTCAGCGGCGGTCAAAGAAGCCGTGAAGAAGCTTCACTGCAACACTGGCCATCGCTCCAATAGGCGATTGGCTCGTTCACTTGCCATTGCGGGTGCGCCACCTGAGGCGATAGCAGCCGCCAAAACGTTTCAATGCTCCATATGCCAAGAGAGACGTCCTCCACGTGCCCGACGTCCTGCCACCTTGCCTACTCCAAAAGATGCTGGAGACCAAGTTCACATAGATCTCTTCGAGTTGCATGATTTGGCTGAGAACCGTTTTTATGTCGCTCATGCGATCGACAGTGTCAGCAAACTTCAAATGGCTGAAGTGCTCAAAGACAAATCTGCTGACGCTGTGGTGAACTTCATGGTTCGCCGATGGATGCCAATCTTCGGCCCTCCGAGAGTTCTGGTGGCAGATCAGGGACGTGAATTCATTTCTTGGAAGTTTGAAGAAATGGCTGCACAGCACTCAATTTTGCTGTGGCACACGGCAGTGCAAGCCCCCTGGCAGAATGGTGTCTGCGAGAAAGGTGGTGGAATTTTGAAAGCCATCGCAACAGCAGTCATCAAAAGCCAATCCTTGCTTGGAGCTGACGATGTCGACCTAGCCGTTCAAGAAGCAGTCATGGCCTACAACAGCGACATCAATGAAGCTGGTGTCACACCGGCGCAGGCTGCATTGGGCCGTCAGCCCAGGATGATTGGTGATGTTTTGGGTGATTTTGGACAGCGTTTGTCCGAGCATGGTTTGGTCGAATGCCGACCCTCATTTGCCAGACAAGTTGCAATGCGTGAAGTTGCAAAGCTTGCCATGCTGAGGTTGCATTTTTCAAGAGGTTTGAGAAGAGCTGAAATGGCCAGGTCACGCACCCCAACTGTGACCGATGCCCAAGCCTTGCAGCCTGGTATGATAGTTTACTACTACCGCATGAGCAAATACAACAGCAAGACAGGTCCTTCGAAGCGCAAGCTCAGCCTGAAGCGTTGGCATGGCCCTGGACTTTTAGTGGCCATGGAAGGACACAGCAACTGTTTCATTTCCCACAAGGGTCAACTTGTCAAAGCTGCAATTGAGCATGTTCGCAAAGCCTCCACTATGGAGCAAATCACCATGGAAGAGTGGGAGTCTGCGATACAAGATGTTGTGGAAGCTGCAATGAATGACCGAGACGGTGGAGTTCAAGGCCCTCTAGTGGTTGAGCCTCCTGTTGAAGGTGGAGAAGCCTATGCTGACCAAGGTGTTGCCAGTCAACCTGCAGAAGCATCCGCACCTGCTTCTGTTGCTCTCCAACCTCAAGAACTTGTTGCTGCCGTTGCACCGGCCTTGTCTCAACCTGTTGCCAGTGCTCCTCCATCGAGACGTAGCAGTTTGCTGAGTAGCATTCCTGGACTTCCAGTGCAACCTTCCGTTGGACTTTCCAGGCCTCAAGTTGCACGCAGTGGTTCCAGAACGCCGAGAACGCCGAGATCTCAGTTGCCCCGCAGCAGACCTGAAGCTGCTGCAAGCCAAGCTCCTAGTGAAGCTGAAGTTGTGGATGAGAGTCGCAAGCGCGCCTCTGATGTTCCAGTGGAACGCCTTCAAGATGCTGAAGGCAACCCGCCTCCTGAAGCACCTGGAGAATCCCATGAAACCTTGAAGGTTTCCACAGTTTCAGACAGCCTGAATGACTATGAGCACCCGCTCAAGCAGATCGTGCGATTGGCCGAGCAAGACAAGAAGCAGCCGTTAGATCATGCGCCTGATGATCATGGCTCGTGGGATGGCCGTTGGCCGCTGCCAAGCAGATCTGAATGGATGGCTCATGAGCACTATGGTATTCCCTGGCCTTCTGGAAGTGCTGAAGTGAATGCGGTGCAAACCGCGAGAAAAGAATACAAATGGCCTGAGATGAATGAGAGCTACAAGGAAAGTTTTCGCATTGCAGCTGCTGATGGCTGGCGAGTTTGGGTTGACAACTCAGCTGTCGAAGTTCTTTCGCCAAAAGAAGCCCGAGAAATTCGCCAGCGACTGAAGCTCCGTGGCGAAGGCCACAAGATCCTGACACCGAGGTTCGTCTTCACAGACAAGCACGACGGACTTCGCACCTCAACCAACAACCTTGGATTGAAAGCCTCTGCAAGATTAGTGGTTCCCGGATACCGTGACCTGACAGCTCATGTTTTGCGAAAAGATGCCCGGACGTGTTCAAGGGTGAGCTTCCACTTGCTGTTAGTTTTCACAAGTTCCCGGAGATGGATTTTGCTGAGCGCTGACGTGAAGTCAGCTTTCTTGAAAGGAGAAGAGTTTGCCCCAGGTGAGAGAGAACTTTACCTGGGCCAAATCAAAGTCAAAGATGGCGATGAGCCGCTTCTACCTCTTGGTGAAGGCCAACTTGCAAGACTGAGAAAAGGGATATTTGGGTTGAGCGATAGCCCAAGGCGATGGTACCTTCGTCTTCACAAATCCTTGACGAAGTTGGGTTGGCAGAGATCTTCACTGGATGCTGCGATGTGGTTTCTTTGGAGTGATGATGGAAAAACTATGGAAGGCATCGTAGTGAGCCATGTGGATGATTTGCTGATGGGTGGAAGCCCGGTGGCGATTGCTTCCTTGGAAGCACTTGGCAGAGAATTGGGATTTGGTTCGTTGGAACGTGGATCCTTTGTGTACTGCGGCAAGCGCATCACACAACATGCTGACCACTCCATCTCCATTGACATGAAGGAGTACCATGAGAACCTGGCGCCTGCAGTTGTTCCTATGCACCGGCGCCGCACTCCTGATGCTCCGCTGGCTCCAGATGAGCAGAAGAAACTCAGAGCCTTGTTAGGAAGTTTGCAATGGTTGGTTTCCCAACTTAGGGCTGATTTAGGTTTTCAGTTGTCCACCTTACAAGGGGATAAGCAAGTTGTGGGGACGTTACTCAAAGCAAACTCGCTTGTTCGCCAAGCAAAACTGCAATCTGATTTCGCGCTCCGCTACGTTCCTCAAGACCTTGCACGATGTGGGCTGATGGTTGTGACCGACGCCTCTCTGGGGAATGTGACGAAAGCTGGAAGCAGTGAAGGAGAGTTGGTGGAAAGAGTTTTCAGCCAGGCGACCTACGTCATTTTGCTGGCTGATGAACAGTTGATGGAAGGAAAGCCTGGTCGATTCAACCTGATCGACGCCAGAAGCCACAGACTTGGAAGAGTTTGCAGATCAACCTTCGGCGCAGAACTCCTTGCGTCTGAGGAAGGTTTGGATGCTGGACATTTCTGCAGAGGAGCCTTTGCTGAGATGTTGGGCTACCCCATGGAAAAGCCGTTTGCTGAGCAGAGCATGGACTTGATCCCTTTGCAGATGGTGACCGATGCAAAAGACAACTATGACAAGTGCAACAGTGACACTCCGACGTATGGAAGTCAGAAAAGCCTTGCATTCACCATAGCTTGGATCCGCAGCATGCTACGCCGAGACTCCACCATGATGAAGTGGACCGCCACCGACAACATGTTCGTGGATGGAGGCACGAAGCTGATGAAACTGGATCACATGGCCCGGATTTTGCAATCCAATGAGTGGTGTGTAACATTTTCCCCTGGCTTTGTAAAGCAAACAGTCAAGAAACCGACCAAGACAGCCAGTAGCTTAGATAGCTTAGTCTTAGGCCAAGCCGTAGATGCAAGCAACCCAATGTTTGGCCATTTGCTGGGCCTTAGCGAATTGGTAGGTTGGCACAACAAAGGTGCCTACAAAGTGCACGTGGCAAAGAATGCACGTTCGTATAGAACTCCAGAGCCGAGATTTGAAGCCTCAAAGTACCCGCACAGAAGTACTTTTGGCAAATTCGTTGACCCCAACGGCCACGCAGAATGGCGACAGTTGGAAGATCGGAAAGCCTATGTTGGTTTGCCCAATCGACATGAGGCATTAGGAAGCGTTGCCAACACACTGATTACAGTGTTCATGCCCTGGGTTCTTCAGCAACAAGAAAATATACCAGCTGAGAAAGATTGACCATTGCATCAGAACCCTTGGCATGTCATTTCACCTGCTTGCATGTACAGGACACTTTCAATGTGTGACCGCAGGCCTAAGCCATTCTGGTTCCGACGTCAAAGGCAAAAGGGCGCCTTGCACCTGCACCAGGTTGCACCTGTGCGTTTTCAATTTTCAATGGGGTCATCCTGGACACCCTCGGGTGTGGGTGATCCCTCTGCAACCGAAACCCCTGGCCACATCTTGGATGCCTCTTGCCGAGTGTTCTGAAGGTATTCACTGAGGACCCTGGATGGGTCACATGGGCTCATCTTACCACAGACTTGGTCCAGGCTCCTGACGACATGTGCAAGCACCCACAACCCCACAATCGGCGACACACTTTGCCCTATGCCTGCCAGCGCCAACCTCAGGTTATACCCCAAGGATTGTTTTGGTGAACCCCCATTGAGTGTCCAAGCTTCGGTAGGATGGAGGAAGCTCCAGTGACGAAGGATACGGTCACCATGCTTCTGAGTCTCTGGAAGCGGCACAATTGTTGCAACCAAACCCTGTGCCTGGATGCGTTTTTCGGAAAAGGCTTTTCGGCAGCCACATGCACATGGAAAGGCCTGGTTGCCTGCAGAATGCATGCATGTGGGCAGTTTGCTTTGCAAGTTGATAAACAAGGCCTCGACCCCCCCCTTTGCATAGAGTGGAACTTGGAAAGTTCATACAACCCCATTGTGAGTTGCTGCATGACTGCTGGGCACAAGTGCGGGCCCAGGTATTCCCCAGATCAAACATCCGTGGACTTGGACTGTTTCGCCACGAGGTCTGACGTTGTTCCATATGTGCCTTGGATCAGTGCCAGGTCCGTGAAGGCAACAAGAACGGAAACAAAACACTCGTCCCAAAAAGGGAAGCCAACAAATGACACAGAACTTTTTTTTTAGACCATCATCAGTGTTACAATAATGTTTCTGTTACCAGCGCTGTTTGAAGATGTGCAATATGTTCATTTCGTTTTTTTCCCCAGCGTGTTGAGCATGCCAAGCCATCGCTTTATTGCGTGCTGTTCTAATGAAAGCCTGGATGGTACTTTGACTCTCCACTTGTCGACAGACATGGAACCATATTGTGCAATTCACCAGGCAATGTAGTTTCGTAGAGTTCCTAAGATTAGCCACACATTATTCAGGTGTAGGTTTACCAAAGCAGTAGGAGAGCAGCCCAGAGTTAAATCTCATGTAACAAAGTTGGAGCCTGACACTTGTTTTTTTCGTGAGCCCTGAGGATCCCCTTGCACCTCCACATTCCATGGCTGCAGTCAGACACTCAGAATACTGGTTCAAACTATCAATTACATGGTGCGGATGCTGATCAGAAGATTCAATTAGATGAATCAGTGGGCAATGAATGACAGCACAAAATTGGCAAACTACTCAATGTGTAACCACCAAATCTGGACCCTGCTTTTGTCTCCCATTTCAGACTGGATTTCTTGGTCAGGTCCAGCTTTCGCTGCTGCCGACCCATTGACCCCGGTATTTGCCAAAATGGGGGAAGCCATTGAGGTTTATGATACTCATTGTAAAGGACCTCCATAGGGAATCATTTGTAAGGACACAAGAAATATTGACTATGCCTCACATGAGTTCCTTCTGCCTGAGACCCCCAGTGGAAAGCATGAACTTCGGTTTTCAGATTTCCCAAGAGTTTACTTCAGCTGGGGGACTTCGGTTTTCAGATTTCCCAAGAGTTTACTTCAGCTGGGGGATAGGATTTAGGGGTGATGACCATCCCTTAGCAATAGTGAAAGACCAGTAAATATTTTTGCGTTTGGCACTGTGCACATGCAAGCAGCATGGACCCCTGCAGGATGACACGCACAACTATGTGCTCTGACACGTTTTCATGGCTCAAGAAATAGGAGCTGTCGTCATTGGGCAGGTGTCTTGGGGACCTAAAGGGTTGCTCTAGCACTTAAGACCCATACCCGAAGCCCCCGTTCGTAACCGCAGGTTATGAGCCCAAAGAGGTTCTGAAGCCATCTCTCTGATGCAACGCCGACGAGCAGCTGATGGGGTCGATGGTGGAGGAGATGCAGCAGATGAAAGGACTGCTGACCAAATGATGGCTGACCTGATCGAGGACCTGAACAACTCCTCATCAGGAACCACCGCAGTGAGGTCAGTGCGGGTGTTGGAAGGAAGTGCGCAAGCCCAACCTGAAGGTGGAGCCCAAGAGGTGGTCGTGGCTGGAGCTGGTGGCCCACAGCCAGGTCATAATGGGGGAGCGCAAGGTGTGATGGAGGGTTTGTCACCAGACCAACAGGCCGTGCTTCGACAAGCTGCTGAAGTCCTGAGGACTGGGGTGCAGCTGCAGTGGCAAGCTGCTCCGCCGGCTGCTCTGGTGGATGCAGGAAGGCGACCTGAACATCTTCCAGGGGGCCAACAACAAGCTGAACGAGCTGGAGGCATGGATCCAGGTGAAGGCCAACGAGGCGATCAAAGAGCTCAAGGGGTTGGTGACGGAGGTCTATCGGGTCCTCTTGCACTTCCTGCCGGCGGCTTGGAGCCATTGGTGCTTCGACCTGAAGGTCTACCCCCTGCTCCACAAGGAGATCCTGTGGTTTTGGGTCCTGCTGGACCGCATGGAGGTGCTGAACAACAAGGGCATCCTTCTGCACTGGTGCAACGTGCTGGACATCAACCTGGCTCTGGTCAACTTCTTCGGCATCCTTCTGATCCTCATGGGGTACAAGCCGTGATGAGGACACCAGATGGTGTTGGGGCTGAACGGAATCCGTTTTGGAGCGATCGGGCTATGGCTGGAGGTGACCAACATGCTGCCAGTGGACCACATGGCGAAGGCGCCCAACGAGCTCTGTCATCAGGACGGGTGAAAACAGCTGATGGTTTAACCCACAAAGACCTGTTGGATTTAGAGGCTCTTAGGGTTCAGGGTTTTAAAGAAGTTGAAGCCCAAATTCAAAGGGACATGGAAAAACGTAAAGGGGAAAATAGCGGTAGTGGCTCATTCCAAAGTGTTTTGGGGGGAGTAGGTGTAGTTCAGGGTTCAAAAACCCCTGTGGATCCGGCTCTTGGCCATTTGGTGACTCCTCCGGGTCTTCCTGGCCTTCCTGGTCCAGCTGTGCCTGCATCGGTCACGCCTGCGCCTGTGGTGAGCGTTGGCGAGAACCTCAATGAGAACCTGAGGAACTTGGAGCTGCCAAAGCTGTCCCCTGACAGCACTTCGGTGGACTTTGGTGACTGGCTTGCCATTGTGGGTCCGTTTATGTCGGATCTGAGTGGAACGAGCAGTCAATGGTGGGCTCTGGTGTTGGACGCTGCGGCCAAGACCTATGCAGCGTGGGTGACATCAACGCCACTCCAAAGGTTGCGCCTGAAGGTGGTGTCTCCGAATGAATTGGCGAAATGGCCAAGGACTGAGCAGAGGGCTGTGACCATGTTGTTGGCTGCTGTCCCGGACCCGATTCGGCGCGAACTGATCTCGTCCAGGAAGCTGCAAAGCGTGGAGATCCTCTATGCCCTTCTGTGTCGTTTTCAACCAGGTGGAGTTCATGAAAAAACGAGCTTGCTGAAGGACCTCACGGAGAATCGATTGGGTGCCAATGCGAACATCCACGAGCTCTTGCAGACCTTGCGGGTGTGGCGACGGAATTTGGGAAGATCAGCTGAGCTGGGAATTCAACTTCCGGATCCACTCATCTTGGTTGGAGTTCTTGGACGGTGGTCGGACCATCTTGGACGCCTTGGAGGACCTCAGACGGTTTACCGAATGTCGTCGCTTCGACAAGACTTGCAGTTGGACTTCATCCCAACGAATGTCAAGGTTGCTGACTTTGCGGAGGCGTTGCAGGCCGAAGCTGAGCAGTTGTCACGGATGAGCGCTTCACCGACTTCTACCACGACTGCATCACTTCAGGACACCAAAAGAAGGAGCAGATCAAGGCTGCTGCTCTACGGTCTGAAGGGTCTCCTACCCTATAGGTCAGGAAAGGTTATTTGGAGCAAAATAGGTAACTCTAAAAAAATTACATTTTTGAAGATAATTTTGGTCGATTTTTTAAAACTATATTAGTTAAAAAATACATTTGAAGGTAATTATTGAGAACCTTTTTCAAGGTAATTTTTAAGGGTTATTTTTTTCACTTCGTTTTTACATATATATTTATTTATTTTCTTTTGTTATATGGTATGTGTCTGATGTTCTCTTGGGGTTACTATATACGTGCTGCTGACATATGTGCATGGGTTTATTTCATGTATTTTGACAGGGTCTCATGTTTTTCCCTTGGCACTTTGATTGGATCAAATGATTTGATCATGGGTAGTGTTTGTGTCACTGACAAAATTTATGAAACAACAGCATTGCAAAAATGAGGAAAAGTCAGAAAAGGCATGAAACAAGATTATGGCAATAATGAACCAGTCATACTTGGCAATGAAGCATTGTCCAAGCATGCATTCTGTCTTTGAAAGCTCAGTGAGGGCATCCTTCAAAGTATCATTGATTTTTGGTCTTTCTTGTCTCTACCCAGTGGCCCCTGAACCACTTTGGTTTCTTTGATGTCATGCTGCAGACTTGCCCTGCTCAGTTTCACAGGAGCATCACAAATCGATTTTGGCAATGCTGAGGATGAAGTAACCACAGCTGGTGTAGAGGAAGCACTGCTACCACTACCACAACCACCACTACCACTACCACCACAACTAGCTCCAGTGCCAAGCTGGCTCCAGGGCCTGCTCGACATGAATTGACTCACCTGCGAACTCTCATCCTTGGTGCGGTTGGCTTGGCCACCATGCAAGACCATGGCAGGGCACAATGGCTGTGGCTATTGTCTTGACATGATAGTAACCATCTTTCTGATAGACATCACCTCGTCTTTGTGCATCATTCAAAGCTTGCTGGTTTCCCTGGATTTGGTCCACAACCTAAGCCAACCCAGTAATCTGAGATTTGCTGCAAATCTCAGAGTTCTTCTTGAAAACTTCGAGCACTGGGTATTTCCAGGAGCAAACACAGACTCGCCTCTGGTGTTCAAGAGAATTCTTGGAGCCCTCTTCTTCATAGAGCTGCTGAAGATCTTCTGGCACCTGGCCACTTTTGATCATTCTGGCACATTTCCTTACCTTGGGATAGCTTCGATGCTCATCATCAGCAACTGTTGCATCCTCCTCTTTAGGCTCCTCATCTTCTCCTTCTGCATGGTCATCAGGAACTGGCTCATCCCTGGTCTTCTTCCATCCGGTCTTGTCAGGATTTTCTTCATTGTGCTCTTGGCTTTTGCCTTTTGAGCTTTCATTGGCGAAGAAGTAACCCCAGGAGCTTTGCTGGCAGCAGCCTTGGCTTTACCTGCTGCCTTTGCCTTGACTTTAGATTTTGCTTTCACCTAGTCTTTGGCCTTTGCCTTTGGTGCTGCAGTATCTAAGAATCTAAGTCAGCTCATGGGGCAGTTTCTTCTGGAGAAGCCTGTTCTACAGATTCTGGTGCTGGTTCAGGTGGAGGCAACATGCAAGCATAGCATCAGGTGGACAAGCAGGCCTCTTCATGAGGTTACCAACAGGGGCGACAAGTGACAAGTAACTTCAATCTTGAGCACCAGTGTGCTACACAGATGGTATATGCAATTGGGGATGTCTCAAAATAGGGGGCCCCAAGCCCTTGTTTTTTAGTGTGCAAAACAGAGCTTTGGGGCCCTCCTATTTTGAGACATCCCTAAGTGTACACTTGACGTAAATTCCAGCCTTTCACCAAAAGTAACTCCATGAAGAACATGTTTTGCCCATGATGATGTCAGAAAAGCTTACAACAGAAATACCAAAGACCTTGTGAATGTATCAATCAACAAATGTGATATCTATACTTCACAATGGATGTTGCATGGCTTTTTCATTTTCATTGAACAAACTTAAAAAAGTAGAACTGGAGATGTCTCAAAACGTCTGAAAATTGGTTCCCGAAACCGAAGCCTAACATGTTCAAAAACTGGTTCCACAATGGTACCTAGGAAAATGAAAGGTGCTTTAAGCCATCTTAAGGTACCTTTCATTTTTTGGAAAAATAAAACATTAAAGAAATAGAAATGGAGATGTCTCAAAATGTCTAGAGCAATTATTTTATTGCAATTTCAGTATTGTACATATCTTGTTTGTGTTGTTATTTATGTGCTGCTCTTGTCCTATGATTATTTTGATGAAACTCTAAGACGTAATGTGCCTAAATATCACTGTCTATATATATATATATATTTATATATATATGTATGCATTAATACGCATGTATTCAGGTGGTGTGGTGTTATTAGTCATTAGTTGGCTTGGGGTTACAGTTTTGCAAACCACACCCATTGCATGCCAACCAACCCTATAAGGTACCTTGTAAAATGAAAGGTGCTTTAAGCCCCCCTTCAGGTCCTTATTTTTTGCAAAATAAAACAAAAAATAAAAATGGGAATGTCTCAAAAATGTCTAGTGCAAATATCTGACTATAGTTTCTGTATTGTACATGTGTTTTTTCTTTTCTTATTTATGTATGTTCACCTAATGTAATTGCTCTTGCCCTATGTTTTTTTGATGACACTTTAAGGCATAATGTGACATAATGTACCCACATACTAATGTGGAGGTATATGTGTATTCATGTGGTGTGGGGTTATTATTTGGCTTGGGGCTACTGTTTTCAAACAAAACCCATTGCATGCCAACCAACCCTATTAGGTACTTTGTAAAATAAAACGGTGCTTTAAGCCCCCCTAAGGTACCTTTTCATTTTTGGGAAAAATAAAACAAATAAACATATAGATGTCGCAAAATGTCTAAGGCAAATGTTTGATTACAATTTCAGTATTGTACATGTGTTTGTTGGTGTTTTTTTTAATGTATGTTCACCTAATTTAGTTGCTCTTGTCCTAGGATTTTTTTGATGCAACTTCAAGACATCATGTACCCAAATACTGATGTGGAGGTATATATGTATATATGTGTGTATTCATTTGGTGTGGGGTTATAATTTGGTTTGGGGTTACTGCATTGCAAACCAAAACCATTGCATGACAACCAACCTATGTTTGGGGTTTCTATTTTGGAAACACACAGCATTCAATCAAACACAAACCATGGTTGGTACTACATGTTTATCTAAACACCAGGCAACAATAACCTTCGTTTTTTATTTGATTTTTTTAAATGAGAAAAACACTTACAAAGAATAGTAATCCATATTTGGGGTTACTTCTTTTAAATGATCCCAACAATAGATCCCTATGTTGTTTTTATTTTTTTCAACCAGTAGCATACATGAAACCTATTTAAAAAAAACAAAATTGAAATGAAAAACTCATTTTTTTGAAACAAACAAACATGGTTTTCAAGAAAATAAACACTATTTTTTTAAGAAAAAACAAGTTTTATCTATATTTTTTGCTTACTGCCCTGAAAGTTTGTTGAAAGTTTGTTGCAAACTTTCAGTCAAACTTTCAGGGGAGGTTGCAAGTTTGACTGAAACTTTCAATGCAAACTTGCAGGGCTGGATTGAAAGTTTCAATGCAAACTTTCAAGGCTGGATTGAAAGTTTAAAGAAACTTGCAGGGCTACACTGAAAGTTTGCATGAAAGTTTCAATGTAGCCCTGCAAGTTTCTTTAAACTTTCAATCCAGCCTTGAAAGTTTGCATTGAAACTTTCAATCCAGCCCTGCAAGTTTGCATTGAAAGTTTCAGTCAAACTTGCAACCCCCCCTGAAAGTTTGACTGAAAGTTTGCAACAAACTTTCAACAAACTTTCAGGGCAGTAAACAAAAAATATAGAGAAACCTTGTTTTTTCTTAAACAAATAGTGTTTATTTTCTTGAAAACCATGTTTGTTTGTTTAAAAAAAATGGGTTTTTCATTTCAATTTTTTTGTTATTAAAAAAAAGGTTTCATGTATGTTACTGGTTGAAAAAATAAAAACAACATAGGGATCTATTGCTGGGATCATTTTAAAAGAAGTAACCCCAAATATGGATTACTATTCTTTGTAAGTGTTTTTCTCATTAAAAAAACCAACCAGTGGTTGTTTATGCTGCAAATTGTTTTGACATGTTACACCCACCATGTCTAAATGTGTTTTAAAAAGTAACCCAAAACATGGTTTGGTTGTCATGCATTGGTTTTGGTTTGCAATGCAGTAACCCCAAGCAAAATTATAACCCCACACCAAATGAATACACACACGCACATATATATATATATATCCACAGTAGTATTTGGGTACATTATGTATTGAAGTTGCACCAAAAAAATCCTAGGACAAGAGCAACTACATTAGGTGAACATACATAAATAATACATCAACAAACACATGTACAATACTGAAACTGTAATCAAACATTTGCCTTAGGCATTTTGAGACATCTATATGTCTATTTGTTTTGTGATTTCCCAAAAAAATGAAAAGGTACCTTAAGGGGGCTTAAAGCACCTTTTTATTTTACAAAGTACCTAATAGGGTTGGTTGGCATGCAATGGGTTTTGTTTGAAAACAGTAGCCCCAAGCCAAATAATAACCCCACACCAAATGAATACACATATACCTCCACATTAGTATGTGGGCACATTATGTCACATTATGCCTTAAAGTGTCATCAACAAAAACATAGGGCAAGAGCAATTACATTAGGTGAACATACATAAATAAGAAAAGAAAAAACACATGTACAATACAGAAGCTATAATCAAATATTTTCATTACACATTTTTGGGGCATTCCCATTTTTATTTTTTGTTTTATTTTGCTAAAATAAAAAAAGGTACCTTAAGGAGGGTTTAAAGCACCGTTCATTTTACAAAGTACCTAATAGGGTTGGTTGGCATGCAATGGGTTTGGTTTGCAAAACTGTAACCCCAAGCCAGCCAATAACACCACACCAAATGAATACACATATATCTCTACATTAGTATTTGGGTACATTATGCCTTAAAGTTTCAAAAAAACCTAGGACAAGAGCAATTACATTAGGTGAACATACATAAATAAAACAAAAATAAAAAGCCACATGTACAATACTGAAACTGTAATATGTATTTTTTTGCCACATATACCACCACTGATTATTGATTGAATACATATATATATATACATACTGTATATATATATATACTATTGATTTGTTCATTTATTGTTTTTTGTTATTCATTCTTTATATATATATACATATGTTTTATTTTTCTAATTATATATTTGTTTATCTTGTTAATGTTTTTGAACACGAACCACTTCTTAAAGTCGCAGCATATCTGTAAGTATTGTTTTCCATTATTGCATGCATAGGACAAATATTCATTTCACAAAAACATATTACCATCCAAAAAAAAGAAAATCTCATGCAGCACCTTTGTGAATGATAAATAGCACAATGGTTGGTTGATACATGCACGAGGTCTTTGGTATGTGGGCTACTTTTTTGGTGAAAGGTGGGAAAATATGTCAAGTGTACAAGTGCATTTACCATCCATGTAGCACACTGGTGCCCAAGATTGAAGTTACTTGTCACTTGTCGCCCCTGTTGGTAACCTGATGCTATGCTTGCTTTTTGCCTCCACCTGAACCAGCACCAGAATCTGTAGAACAGGCTTCTCCAGAAGAAACTGCCCCATGAGCTGACTTAGATTCTTAGATACTGCAGCACCAAAGGCAAAGGCCAAAGCCTAGGTGAAAGCAAAATCTAAAGTCAAGGCAAAGGCAGCAGGTAAAGCCAAGGCTGCTGCCAGCAAAGCTCCTGGGGTTACTTCTTCGCCAATGAAAGCTCAAAAGGCAAAAGCCAAGAGCACAATGAAGAAAATCCTGACAAGACCTGATGCAGCTGAAGGCGAAAGCCAAGGCCAAAGCGAAGACTGTCAAGGAGATGGCAGCAGGATGGAAGAAGACCAGGGATGAGCCAGTTCCTGATGACCATGCAGAAGGAGAAGATGAGGAGCCTAAAGAGGAGGATGCAACAGTTGCTGATGATGAGCATCGAAGCTACCCCAAGGTAAGGAAATGTGCCAGAATGATCAAAAGTGGTCAGGTGCCAGAAGATCTTCAGCAGCTCTATGAAGAGGGCTCCAAGAATTCTCCTCCCCCAAGGTTATTTAAGAGTCAATTCATCAACAAAGTCTTTCAGCAGAACACCAGTGGCGAGTTTGCTTTTGCTCCTGGAAATACCCAGTGCGAGGTTTTCAAGAAGAACTGAGATTTGCACCAACAAGGAGATCCTGTGGTTTTGGGTCCTGCTGGACCGCATGGAGGTGCTGAACAACAAGGGCATCCTTCTGCACTGGTGCAACGTGCTGGACATCAACCTGGCTCTGGTCAACTTCTTCGGCATCCTTCTGATCCTCATGGGGTACAAGCCGTGATGAGGACACCAGAGGACACCAGATGGTGTTGGGGCTGAACGGAATCCGTTTTGGAGCGATCGGGCTATGGCTGGAGGTGACCAACATGCTGCCAGTGGACCACATGGCGAAGGCGCCCAACGAGCTCTGTCATCAGGACGGGTGAAAACAGCTGATGGTTTAACCCACAAAGACCTGTTGGATTTAGAGGCTCTTAGGGTTCAGGGTTTTAAAGAAGTTGAAGCCCAAATTCAAAGGGAAATGGAAAAACGTAAAGGGGAAAATAGCGGTAGTGGCTCATTCCAAAGTGTTTTGGGGGAAGTAGGTGTAGTTCAGGGTTCAAAAACCCCTGTGGATCCGGCTCTTGGCCATTTGGTGACTCCTCCGGGTCTTCCTGGCCTTCCTGGTCCAGCTGTGCCTGCATCGGTCACGCCTGCGCCTGTGGTGAGCGTTGGCGAGAACCTCAATGAGAACCTGAGGAACTTGGAGCTGCCAAAGCTGTCCCCTGACAGCACTTCGGTGGACTTTGGTGACTGGCTTGCCATTGTGGGTCCGTTTATGTCGGATCTGAGTGGAACGAGCAGTCAATGGTGGGCTCTGGTGTTGGACGCTGCGGCCAAGACCTATGCAGCGTGGGTGACATCAACGCCACTCCAAAGGTTGCGCCTGAAGGTGGTGTCTCCGAATGAATTGGCGAAATGGCCAAGGACTGAGCAGAGGGCTGTGACCATGTTGTTGGCTGCTGTCCCGGACCCGATTCGGCGCGAACTGATCTCGTCCAGGAAGCTGCAAAGCGTGGAGATCCTCTATGCCCTTCTGTGTCGTTTTCAACCAGGTGGAGTTCATGAAAAGACGAGCTTGCTGAAGGACCTCACGGAGAATCGACTGGGTGCCAATGCGAACATCCACGAGCTCTTGCAGACCTTGCGGGTGTGGCGACGGAATTTGGGAAGATCAGCTGAGCTGGGAATTCAACTTCCGGATCCACTCATCTTGGTTGGAGTTCTTGGACGGTGGTCGGACCATCTTGGACGCCTTGGAGGACCTCAGACGGTTTACCGAATGTCGTCGCTTCGACAAGACTTGCAGTTGGACTTCATCCCAACGAATGTCAAGGTTGCTGACTTTGCGGAGGCGTTGCAGGCCGAAGCTGAGCAGTTGTCACGGATGAGCGCTTCACCGACTTCTACCACGACTGCATCACTTCAGGACACCAAAAGAAGGAGCAGATCAAGGCTGCTGCTCTACGGTCTGAAGGGTCTCCTACCCTATAGGTCAGGAAAGGTTATTTGGAGCAAAATAGGTAACTCTAAAAAAATTACATTTTTGAAGATAATTTTGGTCGATTTTTTAAAACTATATTAGTTAAAAAATACATTTGAAGGTAATTATTGAGAACCTTTTTCAAGGTAATTTTTAAGGGTTATTTTTTTCACTTCGTTTTTACATATATATTTATTTATTTTCTTTTGTTATATGGTATGTGTCTGATGTTCTCTTGGGGTTACTATATACGTGCTGCTGACATATGTGCATGGGTTTATTTCATGTATTTTGACAGGGTCTCATGTTTTTCCCTTGGCACTTTGATTGGATCAAATGATTTGATCATGGGTAGTGTTTGTGTCACTGACAAAATTTATGAAACAACAGCATTGCAAAAATGAGGAAAAGTCAGAAAAGGCATGAAACAAGATTATGGCAATAATGAACCAGTCATACTTGGCAATGAAGCATTGTCCAAGCATGCATTCTGTCTTTGAAAGCTCAGTGAGGGCATCCTTCAAAGTATCATTGATTTTTGGTCTTTCTTGTCTCTACCCAGTGGCTCCTGAACCACTTTGGTTTCTTTGATGTCATGCTGCAGACTTGCCCTGCTCAGTTTCACAGGAGCATCACAAATCGATTTTGGCAATGCTGAGGGTGAAGTAACCACAGCTGGTGTAGAGGAAGCACTGCTACCACTACCACAACCACCACTACCACTACCACCACAACTAGCTCCAGTGCCAAGCTGGCTCCAGGGCCTGCTCGACATGAATTGACTCACCTGCGAACTCTCATCCTTGGTGCGGTTGGCTTGGCCACCATGCAAGACCATGGCAGGGCACAATGGCTGTGGCTATTGTCTTGACATGATAGTAACCATCTTTCTGATAGACATCACCTCGTCTTTGTGCATCATTCAAAGCTTGCTGGTTTCCCTGGATTTGGTCCACAACCTAAGCCAACCCAGTAATCTGAGATTTGCTGCAAATCTCAGAGTTCTTCTTGAAAACTTCGAGCACTGGGTATTTCCAGGAGCAAACACAGACTCGCCTCTGGTGTTCAAGAGAATTCTTGGAGCCCTCTTCTTCATAGAGCTGCTGAAGATCTTCTGGCACCTGGCCACTTTTGATCATTCTGGCACATTTCCTTACCTTGGGATAGCTTCGATGCTCATCATCAGCAACTGTTGCATCCTCCTCTTTAGGCTCCTCATCTTCTCCTTCTGCATGGTCATCAGGAACTGGCTCATCCCTGGTCTTCTTCCATCCTGCTGCCATCTCCTTGACAGTCTTCGCTTTGGCCTTGGCTTTCGCCTTCAGCTGCATCAGGTCTTGTCAGGATTTTCTTCATTGTGCTCTTGGCTTTTGCCTTTTGAGCTTTCATTGGCGAAGAAGTAACCCCAGGAGCTTTGCTGGCAGCAGCCTTGGCTTTACCTGCTGCCTTTGCCTTGACTTCAGATTTTGCTTTCACCTAGGCTTTGGCCTTTGCCTTTGGTGCTGCAGTATCTAAGAATCTAAGTCAGCTCATGGGGCAGTTTCTTCTGGAGAAGCCTGTTCTACAGATTCTGGTGCTGGTTCAGGTGGAGGCAACATGCAAGCATAGCATCAGGTGGACAAGCAGGCCTCTTCATGAGGTTACCAACAGGGGCGACAAGTGACAAGTAACTTCAATCTTGAGCACCAGTGTGCTACACAGATGGTATATGCAATTGGGGATGTCTCAAAATAGGGGGCCCCAAGCCCTTGTTTTTTAGTGTGCAAAACAGAGCTTTGGGGCCCTCCTATTTTGAGACATCCCTAAGTGTACACTTGATGTAAATTCCAGCCGTTCACCAAAAGTAACTCCATGAAGAACATGTTTTTCCCATGATGATGTCAGAAAAGCTTACAACAGAAATACCAAAGACCTTGTGAATGTATCAATCAACAAAAGTGATATCTATACTTCACAATGGATGTTGCATGGCTTTTTCATTTTCATTGAACAACACTTAAAAAAGTAGAACTGGAGATGTCTCAAAACGTCTGAAAATTGGTTCCCGAAACCGAAGCCTAACATGTTCAAAAACTGGTTCCACAATGGTACCTAGGAAAATGAAAGGTGCTTTAAGCCATCTTAAGGTACCTTTCATTTTTTGGAAAAATAAAACATTAAAGAAATAGAAATGGAGATGTCTCAAAATGTCTAGAGCAATTATTTTATTGCAATTTCAGTATTGTACATATCTTGTTTGTGTTGTTATTTATGTGCTGCTCTTGTCCTATGATTATTTTGATGAAACTCTAAGACGTAATGTGCCTAAATATCACTGTCTATATATATATATTTATATATATGTATGCATTAATACGCATGTATTCAGGTGGTGTGGTGTTATTAGTCATTAGTTGGCTTGGGGTTGCAGTTTTGCAAACCACACCCATTGCATGCCAACCAACCCTATAAGGTACCTTGTAAAATGAAAGGTGCTTTAAGCCCCCCTTCAGGTCCTTATTTTTTGCAAAATAAAACAAAAAATAAAAATGGGAATGTCTCAAAAATGTCTAGTGCAAATATCTGATTATAGTTTCTGTATTGTACATGTTTTTCTTTTCTTATTTATGTATGTTCACCTAATGTAATTGCTCTTGCCCTATGTTTTTTTGATGACACTTTAAGGCATAATGTGACATAATGTACCCACATACTAATGTGGAGGTATATGTGTATTCATGTGGTGTGGGGTTATTATTTGGCTTGGGGCTACTGTTTTCAAACAAAACCCATTGCATGCCAACCAACCCTATTAGGTACTTTGTAAAATAAAACGGTGCTTTAAGCCCCCCTAAGGTACCTTTTCATTTTTGGGAAAAATAAAGCAAATAAACATATAGATGTCGCAAAATGTCTAAGGCAAATGTTTGATTACAATTTCAGTATTGTACATGTGTTTGTGGGCGTTTTTTTTTTAATGTATGTTCACCTAATTTAGTTGCTCTTGTCCTAGGATTTTTTTGATGCAACTTCAAGACATCATGTACCCAAATACTGATGTGGAGGTATATATATATATATTATATATACATGTGTGTATTCATTTGGTGTGGGGTTATAATTTGGTTTGGGGTTACTGCATTGCAAACCAAAACCATTGCATGACAACCAACCTATGTTTGGGGTTTCTATTTTGGAAACACACAGCATTCAATCAAACACAAACCATGGTTGGTACTACATGTTTATCTAAAAACCAGGCAACAATAACCTTCGTTTTTTATTTGTTTTTTTAATGAGAAAAACACTTACAAAGAATAGTAATCCATATTTGGGGTTACTTCTTTTAAATGATCCCAACAATAGATCCCTATGTTGCTTTTATTTTTTTCAACCAGTAGCATACATGAAACCTATTAAAAAAACAAAATTGAAATGACAAACTCATTTTTTTGAAACAAACAAACATGGTTTTCAAGAAAATAAACACTATTTTTTTAAGAAAAAACAAGTTTTATCTATATTTTTTGTTTACTGCCCTGAAAGTTTGTTGAAAGTTTGTTGCAAACTTTCAGTCAAACTTTCAGGGGAGGTTGCAAGTTTGACTGAAACTTTCAATGCAAACTTGCAGGGCTGGATTGAAAGTTTCAATGCAAACTTTCAAGGCTGGATTGAAAGTTTAAAGAAACTTGCAGGGCTACACTGAAAGTTTGCATGAAAGTTTCAATGTAGCCCTGCAAGTTTCTTTAAACTTTCAATCCAGCCTTGAAAGTTTGCATTGAAACTTTCAATCCAGCCCTGCAAGTTTGCATTGAAAGTTTCAGTCAAACTTGCAACCCCCCTGAAAGTTTGACTGAAAGTTTGCAACAAACTTTCAACAAACTTTCAGGGCAGTAAACAAAAAATATAGAGAAAACTTGTTTTTTCTTAAAAAAAAATAGTGTTTATTTTCTTGAAAACCATGTTTGTTTGTTTCAAAAAAATGAGTTTTTCATTTCATTTTTTTAAAAATAGGTTTCATGTATGTTACTGGTTGAAAAAAAATAAAAACAACATAGGGATCTATTGCTGGGATCATTTTAAAAGAAGTAACCCCAAATATGGGTTACTATTCTTTGTAAGTGTTTTTCCCATTAAAAAAACAAACAGTGGTTGTTTATTGTGCAAATTGTTTTGACATGTTACACCCACCATGTCTAAATGTGTTTTAAAAAGTAACCCAAAACATGGTTTGGTTGTCATGCATTGGTTTTGGTTTGCAATGCAGTAACCCCAAACCAAATTATAACCCCACACCAAATGAATACACACATATATACATATATACCTCCACATCAGTATTTGGGTACATGATGTCTTGAAGTTGCATCAAAAAATCCTAGGACAAGAGCAACTAAATTAGGTGAACATACATTAAAAAAAACACCAACAAACACATGTACAATACTGAAATTGTAATCAAACATTTGCCTTAGGCATTTTGAGACATCTATATGTTTATTTGTTTTATTTTTCCCAAAAATGAAAAGGTACCTTGGGAGGGCTTAAAGCACCTTTTTATTTTACAAAGTACCTACTAGGGTTGGTTGGCATGCAACGGGTTTAGTTTGCAAACAGTAACCCCCGGCCCCAAGCCAAATAATGACCCCACACCAAATGAATACACATATACCTCCACATTAGTATTTGGGTACATTATGTCACATTATGCCTTAAAGTGTCATCAAAAAAACATAGGGCAAGAGCAATTACATTAGGTGAACATACATAAATAAGAAAAGAAAAACCACATGTACAATACAGAAACTATAATCAAATATTTTCATTACACATTTTTGGGGCATTCCCATTTTTATTTTTGTTTTAGTTTGCTAAAAATAAAAAAAAAAGGTACCTTAAGGGGGGGTTAAAGCACCTTTGATTTTTCAAAGTACCTAATAGGGCTGGTTGGCATGCAATGGGTTTGGTTTGCAAAACTGTAACCGGACCCCAAGCCAACCAATAACACCACACCAAATGAATACACATATATCTCTACATTAGTATTTGGGTACATTATGCCTTAAAGTTTCAAAAAAAACTAGGACAAGAGCAATTACATTAGGTGAACATACATAAATAAAACAAAAAACCACATGTACAATACTGAAACTATAATATGTTTTTTTTGCCACATATACCACCACTGATTATTGATTGAATACATATATATATATATACATACTGTGTATATATATATATATACTATTTATTTGTTCATTTATTGTTTTTGTTATTCATTCTTTCTATATATATATGTTTTATTTTTCTATTTAAATATTTGTTTATCTTGTTAATGTTTTTGAACACGAACCACTTCTTAAAGTCGCAGCATATCTTTAAGTATTGTTTTCCATTATTGCATGCATAGGACAAATATTCATTTCACAAAAACATATTACCATCCAAAAAAAGAAAATCTCATGCAACACCTTTTGTGAATGATAAATAGCACCATGGTTGGTTGATACATGCACAATGTCTTTGGTATGTGGGCTACTTTTTGGTGAAAGGTTGCAAAATATGTCAAGTGTACAAGTGCATGTACCATCAATGTAGCACACTGGTGCTCAAGATTGAAGTTACGTGTCACTTGTCGCCCCTGTTGGTAACCTCATGAAGAGGCCTGTCCACCTGATGCTATGCTTGCTTTTGCCTCCACCTGAACCAGCACCAGAATCTGTAGAACAGGCTGCTCCAGAAGAAGCTGCCCCATGAGCTGACTTAGATTCTTAGATACTGCAGCACCCAAGGCAAAGGCCAAAGCCAAGGTGAAAGCAAAATCTAAAGTCAAGGCAAAGGCAGCAGGTAAAGCCAAGGCTGCGGCCAGCAAAGCTCCTGGAGTTACTTCTTCGCCAATGAAAGCTCAAAAGGCAAAAGCCAAGAGCACAATGAAGAAAATCCTGAAAAGACCTGATGCAGCTGAAGGCGAAAGCCAAGGCCAAAGCGAAGACTGCCAAGGAGATGGCAGCAGGATGGAAGAAGACCAGGGATGAGCCAGTTCCTGATGACCATGCAGAAGGAGAAGATGAGGAGCCTAAAGGGGAGGATGCAACAGTTGCTGATGATGAGCATCGAAGCTACCCCAAGGTAAGGAAATGTGCCAGAATGATCAAAAGTGGTCAGGTGCCAGAAGATCTTCAGCAGCTCTATGAAGAGGGCTCCAAGAATTCTCCTCCCCCAAGGTTATTTAAGAGTCAATTCATCAACAAAGTCTTTCAGCAGAACACCAGTGGCGAGTTTGCTTTTGCTCCTGGAAATACCCAGTGCGAGGTTTTCAAGAAGAACTTTGAGATTTGCACCAACAAATCTCAGGTTACTGGGTTGCCTCACTCCATCATGCCGTGGAAAAAATCCAGTGAAACCAGCAAGCTTTGAATGAGCAGAAAGACGAGGTGATGTCTATCAGAAAGATGGTTACTATCATGTCAGGACAATAGCCACAGCCATTGAGAAGAAGCAGGGCAGTTCCATGGTCTTGCATGGTGGCCAAGCCAACATCACCAAGGATGAGTTATTGGCAGATAAGTCAATTCATGTCGAGCAGGCCCTGGAGCCAGCTTGGCACTGGAGCTAGTTGTGGTGGTAGTGGTAGTGGTAGTTGTGGTAGTGGTAGCAGTGCTTCCTCTACACCAGCTGTGGTTACTTCATCCTCAGCATTGCCAAAATCGATTTGTGATGCTCCTGTGAAACTGAGCAGGGCAAGTGCTCCCAGGAGCGACTGGGCAGAGATTGTCAAAGACCGGCTGTCAAAATCTTTTTTTTGACAAGAAAGACCAAAAACTCAATTATACTTTGATGGATGTCCTCACCGAGCTTTCAAAGACAGAATGTATGCTTGGGGTTACTTCATTGTAGCTTTGATGTTGCATAACATATCTTCAAAACATCCAATCAGATTTGATCTTCACAAATAAAAACTTTGATTTGCTCAAACAGGTATAAGTTCAAACAATACAGTTTTTTGCACTTCCAGTAATCATGTAGGACTGACTTCACACAAAATCAAGAAGCATATTGTTAAAAAACTTTTCAAGCAATTGATAATGTTCACTTTACTATGGTACAATGTTAAGAAAATATCTAAATTCATAATCTTTTTTCCATGAAAAAAAGCAAAATTTCAAGGTAATTTTTGAGGGTATTTTTTTAAACCCCAAAAATTACCTTGAAATGTACCCTTAAAAATTAACTATGTAGTTAAAAAGAAATTAACTATTTTTGTTTCCTTAAAAATAAACTATTAGTTAGAAAATTGCCTCCAAAATCACTTTTAACTATTTTGCTCCAAATAACCTTGCCTGACCTATAGGGTACTTCCAACGATGATGGGAAGGGGAAGTCAAAACGTCGTTTCTGGGGGAGCACGGCTGGTTGTCGCCGAGGTGAATCTTGTGCTTTTGAGCACTCTTGGGACGGCATCCAACGAAAGGGTCGATGCTGGAATTGTTCCGGTGAAGGGCACATGAAACCTGAATGTCCTCACCTCAAACAGAAAGAATATGGTCAACGTGACTCCTCTGGGTCTCCCACGAAGATCTCCAAGGTGAAGGATCAGAAGGGTGGCAGTCCCAAGAACACAGGTCATGGAAAAGGTGCATCAAAGGGAACTATGACGTCTTCACCAACGACGCATTTGCCGAGTTCTTCACATGGGTCTACGGCGACTTCATCGTCTTCTCATGGTGCTTCTGAGGGGAAGTCCAAGGTGGTGATTGAGGAGGTCAAGCCTGCTGTCCCTGCTGCTCTGGTGTCAGACCTGAGTGGGCTTGTGAAGTCTCTGCAGAGCCTGAAGGCAGTTCACTTGAGGTACATCGAGTCCAAGGCCAATGGTGTTTTTCCTGGAGGTGACCAAAAGCTGGCGTTGCTTGACGGTGGAGCCACTCATGGGCTACGTCGAGGACTGCCTCACGAACTTGAAGGTGCTGAAATGGTGACTGTGGAACTTGCTCATGGGAGTACGTCCCTGTTCCGAAGGCTGGATGTAGCACGTTGTTGGCGAAGGAGGAGGTGGAACCAATCATCCCTGTCCGTCAATTGATCGAGACCGACTACCAGCTCAAGTGGAGTTCCTCTGAAGTTTCCATTTGGCATCCCACAAAGGGATCTATCAAATGCTGGCGACGTCAAGGTTGTCCAGTCATGGATCGAGATGATGGTCTTGCTCTTTTACAAATGTTGGAGGACGATGAGGCGGCGACCCAAATTGGTCAAGAAATTCGAACTTGGTGGAAAGAACGATACCCACAGGTTCCTGACGCTGTCATCGGCTTCATGAAGGGCCAGTTCACGGACTGGAAAAACTGTCCTCAAGGATTACCTTGGAATCGTCGGAGACGTAGGCAGCTGGAATCGGCCAAAGCCATTGTCCTGCACCTCTTCTCTGGGGATAAGGAATCGAGCAGAAAGTGGTTGGAGTTGCAGAAGCTGGGCTACGAGGTGATCACCTTGGATGTGGCTGCAAACAGTGCCGAAAACCTGCACTCACCAGCTATCTGGAGTTACCTGATGATGTTGGCTCGCAAGGGCTCACTGAGAGTCTTGTTGGGTGGGCCACCATGCAGAACGTTTTCAAGGCTTAGACACAAGCCACCCGGCCCACGACCGGTGAGAGGTAGAGCTGAAAACAGATGGGCTCTCCCTGACCTGAATGTGTTGGAAGCCGAAAAGTCTCATGGAGATACAGCACTGGTCCTGAAAATGGCGGCCCTCTACGAAACGATGGAGGAGAGTCAACCAGGAGCCAATGGGTTTCTCCTCGAGCACCCTGAAGACCCGTGCGCGTACCTTGGAGAACAGGAGTCCAGGGAAATGCCAAGCGTGTGGGAGTGGCCAGAACTTAAGGCCTTCGCGGAGAAGTTCAACATGAAAACAGTCTCCTTTGATCAAGGAAAATGTGGGCACAGCCGACGAAAACCAACCAACCTCCTGATGAACTTGCCAGGTATGGATGAACTACAGGGGTTGCTCTGTGGGAAGAATGAGAAGGGCATTGAGCCGCTTGCTGCAGATCTTCAACGTCTCAAACAGACCTCTTCCTGGTCGTCATGGGCTCCGGGGTTGACACAGGCTATCAAGGAGTCAATCAAACAGATGCCTGCGGCTGGCCTCAAACGTTTGTCTTTGGATGAGTGGCGACAGCATTTGAGGCAGAATCATACGCCTTATCGCCGTGATTGTCGTCTCTGCATGCAAGAAATGGGTGCTGGAGAACCACATCGACGTCGAGGTCCTCACCACAATGGTGAATCAGCCTACGTGTTGTCGGTTGACATCACTGGTCCACTTGTGAAAGGATGGGACTATGGAACTGGCCGTCAAGCCAAATATGCGCTGCTTGCTACGGTGCCGATTCCTGTCGTGGATGGTCAACTACATGCTGAAGGTGATCAACCTCCTTGTGATGTTCTTCCAGGTCCTGAAGTTCAACGTTCAGAAGAAGTTCAACGTGCTGGTCAAGTTCCACGTCCCGGTGGAGGTGACAGCCCTAAAGAATGCCTTCCAGGTTCAGGTGCTCATGGTGAAAAAGTTCATGCAGGCCCTGTCGAACCTGTTCCGTCAAAAGGTGATGGATGTGATGATGAAAAAGATGATGGAAAACCAGGTGATGCTCTTCCAGCTGACCCTCTTGCTCCGCTACCAGAATTGGGGGAGATGTCCCAGACCCTGAACTACCTGAAGGAGAAGATGGGGGATTTAGTGAAGATCAGAAAAACTGGGGGAGAAGCTGAATAAAAAATGGAGAGAGCACATGGAAGAAGCCACCGCTCCCTTCAAGATTCAGAATGTCACCTTGTTTGAACCTTTGGGCAGCCGCTCTACAAGCGAGTTAACTACCTGCTTTGGACAGAGTTTGGGTGCGCTTTCGTGCATTGGGCATCCCAATGGTCAGATTGCACTCTGATCGCGCCAAAGAGATGCTGGCGAAACCTGTTCGAGCATGGGCAGGCCGCAGAGGTTTGTACCAGACCTTTACCTCTGGCGATGATGCTCCTGCCAACGGAAGAATCGAAAGTGAAATTTTGCAGTTCAAGCGACGGCTGCGACTGACACTGCAGTCTTCAGCTGCGAAAACGGAGGAATGGCCTTCAGTGGCACGGCACTCTTCTGAGGAGCGCCTTCGAGCTCAACTTCAAAAAGTGAGACTACGGCAGCATGCTATGCTACAACGTGCGGGTGTTGGTCAAAACGAAGCTTTTGCACAAGCGCTTCACCCAGGGCATGGCGAGTCCGTACTTCCAGGCCACTTTGAAGGGACCAAGTCCTCTGATGCACCATGGATGGGTGGTCCAAACTGACAAGGGCCTCATCCAACATGCCAGGTCTGTTGTGACCACTGACCCAAATGCCGAGCGTGCGATGCTGGAACTTGTTGGTGACCCAATGCGGCCAGTTCACCGTATGGTTGGAAAACAGCCTGTGGCCGGTGACCAGGTAGAGCCTCCAAAACTGATGGATGAAACCAAAAGAGATGGCCCTGACGCAGTGTCAGCTGAAGGGAGGTTAGGTATTGAAGGTCAGGTTCCAGGCTCCGTGCCTGCGGAAGGAGGTGATGGTGAAGGAACACAGTATGAACCTAGCATCTATGATGGTGATGAGCCTGTAGAGCGCATGGAAGAGGTGGAGAACCCTGACGTGAATGACATTTGGGGGGAGGTCCATGGTCCGGGGGAGCCCTCTGCTCTTCGAGCTTTTCATGGTGATGATGGTGAACCTATGGTGGTTCCGACCAACTTGGTCGGGGGGGAGTCCAGGTGCTTTTCAACCGCACAAACCGCACAAACAACACGAGATGTCGATGCTGGAGCGACTTTGGAATCTATGTCGTCTTCAAGTTCAACATTGCGGGCGAGCACATCAAGGTCTACTCCTTCAACCTTTAGTGCAACTTCAACTTTGGGTCCAAGCTCAACCTTGCCAAGTATGACAAGTTCATCAAGTATGACGTCCAATGGCGGTGCAATCGAACGCTGGCCTCTTGGTGGTTCCGTGGATGAATATGAGAAGATGCTCCAACGTGAACATCAGGGATGGACTGCAGCGCTTCGAGAGGAGTCACAACGCATCCCAATGGATGGTGATGAAGGTGGTCGCCAAGGTCACTTGATGAAGAACCTCAAGGTTCATGTCGGCGTCTTGGAAGAGGAGTTGGATGTAGTGAACAAAATGGTAGTTGAATGTGAGGAGCGAAAGTGTCTGCTGGCTGCGCTCAACCTCAACGATGTGGAAGACGCCGAGAGCGATCAGTTTGAGATGCCTGTGGAGCCAAAGATCCTCCAGACCCAAACTGTGCCTCTGAATGAAGTTATGGCCAATCTTCCGGAGTGGGTTGATGCACTTCGAGCTGAATATATGAGCTTGACCGAGGGCACCAATGCCATCAAGCCTGTTTATAAAGACACGCTCCGACACCGAACCGGGTAAGTTGGTTGCAACTTTGAAACCGGGAAACAAGAAGAAGGCGAGGCTTGTAGTCTGCGGCAACAGGGTGGAGGTCTCGGCTGACAACCAGGTCGACCAGGACGGTTCCTCTGAGTATGCCAACAAGGGCCGCAAGACCTACGACACCTATGCAGGAGGAATTGACGGTGTATGTGTGCGAGCAGTGCTGAAGAAAGCTGGAGAGCGCCGGTGGAACTGTGCATCCATCGATGTGCATGCAGCCTTTCTGCTTGCCCCACGCCGTGGAACTGGAACACTGGTGGTCAAACCGCCAAAAGTGCTGACAGCTTGTGGGCTGATCCCAGCTACAGAGATGTGGGAAGTCAGCAAAGCGCTGTATGGCCTTCAGTCATCACCGCAAGATTGGAGTGTATTTCGAGATGGCGATCTGAAGATTTGGTCTTGGTCTGAAGGGGGAAGAACGTTCAGTCTCAAGGCTACCAAGGAGGCCAATCTATGGCGCATCGTCGAGCTCTTCAAGTTGGGTGATGGGGAGGTGGAAAAACATGAAACGGTGGGACATATGGTGGTCTACGTCGATGACCTGTTGATCACTGGATCCACTGAAGTGATTGACGCCACGCTCAAGAAGGTGCAGGCACGTTGGAAGTGTAGCGACCCTGAGTGGATGGCACCCGAAGGTCAAAAACCTATGACCTTTTGTGGCTTCGAGATCAAGAAGGGTCCCGATGGTGAAGTTGTGGTCACTCAGAAGTCCTATGCAGAGGAGCTGACTAGGCGGCATGGCATCAAAAAGACAAGGCCTACGCCGATGTCGAGCTCTTTGGTGATTCCTGAGGAGCCGGAGGACTTCACTCGTGAACAACTGCGAGAAGCACAGGCTGTGACTGGTGAGCTGCTGTGGCTTTCCATCCGGTCCAGGCCTGATTTGAGTTATGTGACAGGGCTTATGGGTCGGATGTCAACAAAGAATCCTGCCTTTGTCTGTCAAGTTGGCCAAGAAGCCATGGAATACATCTATGGAACTCTGGATGTGGGTTTGGTCTATGGACCTCTGGTTCCGAATTTTGGGCCAGAGGATTGCCTCCCTTTTGCAAGGGGTATGACAAGGGTCGAGGTCTATGCTGACGTCTCCTTTGCTCCGCAGTCTTCCAAGAGTGTCCAAGGTGTGATCGGGCTGTATGGGGGTGCTCCAATACAGTGGCTGTCGAACCGGCAGGGGTGTCTGACCTTGTCAACTGCAGAATCAGAGCTTCTCAGCTACATCGAGGCGATGTCAGTTGCCGACGCCATTGGCTGCATCATTTCCATTTTGGAGGAGATCCCGATCGAGTTTGACAAGAATGATGAAGATGATGATGAAGATGAAGGAGTCACACAAGCTCCTGATGAGGACTTCGCAGGTGGAGGTGGAGATCAACTCCAACGAGTGATCTATGGGGATAACCAGGCCGCAGTGTCGGTGTTGAGCTCTCCGGATGGACCTTGGCGTACGCGCCATCTGCGGTTGCGCAGTCATGTCCTCCGCCAGAGGCTTCAGCACAAGCTACGCTGGGCTGTGCGACATCTTCCTGGAGCTCTGCTGAGCGCTGATCACCTCACCAAGGCGGTGAACCCTCGAGCGAGGTGGAAGATCTTCTTTGACTTCATGCAGATGGTGCGCAGCACAACTACTGCTCCGGTTGTCGAGGAGGACACCAAGCACGTCAAGGCGCTGGTGTTGAAAAATGAACTGACAAAAATAACCGCTGCAGGGTTAGGGGCTGTAGCACTTGCCACTTTTACCCCAATTCCTGGTTCGGATGATGAAATCCAAAAAGGGGAATTGATGAAGGGGTTGAGTGAATATATAAGGGGAAAAATAGATGGGCTGGTAAAAGGGGGTAAGATAGAAGGGTTTGAAAACCAGGGTTCAACCAACCAAAACACCCAGGGTTCTCAAAACGCTGCTCCCGAAGCCATGAATGTTTTTTCAAGTGAAATGTGCGATGAACGCTCCTGGCGAACTTGTCGCAACTGCCATGGGTCTCTTGAAGGACCTACCTGATGAGCGATGGGGTGAAGAAGTACCACAACTGCGGGCAGTGCTGCCCGAGGATGACGGTTCTTGGGAATGTCATGACGGTCGGGCTCCGCAACCATGTGACAGTGTATGTGGCGACGATCGGGCTCCGCCACCATTTGATGAAGTATGTGGTGACGGTCGGGCTCCGCTGCCAGTGCATGGAATGGCCTATGACGGGGCTCCGCTACCTGAAGGTGAATGTCCTGATGGTCGGGCTTCGCAACTACAACATGGAGGATGTGCAGACGCTCGGGCTGGGGCACTATGTGGTGATCTTCCAGGCGACGGTCTTCAAGATGATGTGGAGTCTATGTCACTGCCAACAAAGGTGACGGTGGATGATCCTCAACACGGGATGTACCCTGGCTGGCCGGGCCGTGGCAAGGGGACCGGGAAGCCAAATCCTTGGTCGCAGCCGCCGCCACCGCCGCCACCGCCGCCACCGCCACCGCCACCAAGGGTCGGTGGGGAAGGGATGTTCCGACCTTTTCCAGCTCAAGGACTACCTGGTGGAGCACAGGGGCAGTTCTATCGACCTGTCCGGGTAGAGCTCACCGTGGGAGGAGTGCCAATGGTGGGATACCGCCAAGGGATCCCTGGTGTGGACTACTCCATCGAGCTCACAATGCGAAAAACTGATCAACCAGATCAACGTCCTGCAGCTGAACCACCAATAGTGGGAAAAATTTGTGTTACAGCGACTGGGCCGTCTTCGGCAAGTGCTGGGGCTTCAAGTGCGAGTTCAAGGGCTCCTACAACGGAAAATCCTGGGGGTTCAACCGCAAGTTCAAGGGCTCCTGCAACAGAAAGCCAGGCAACTGCGGCCAGTGCATCAAGTGCTCCTGCAACAGAAAATCGGGCCAATGCGGCCAGTGCACCAAGTGCAAATCCAGCATACTCCAGACTGGGAGTTGTGGCTGAAAGGGTGATGCCTGACGGGAGTAGGGTCATTTACAGAAACCCCAGGGAGACCTATTACGAGAACGTCCCACCTCCAACGTCAAGTGCATCTGCGCCCACTGATCCGCCGACTGTTGACTCACCGGGTCCTGGTGAACCAGAGCCAGAGGCTGAGGACCTCACGGTGGAAGAAACGTCGTCTGATGTCGAAGTGGTGCGTCCAACGAAGGTGATGAGAAAAGATGGAAGTCATGGTGCCGCACTACCTGCTGAACTTTGCCATCAAGATTGGGCTCAGCATCTATGTGATGGAGGGCTTCAAGATTCAAGAGAATGTCATGGCGGTCGGGCTTGGCAACCACCCGCTGGAAAAGATCATGGTGTCTGCGTATGTCTGGACGCTCGGGCTTGGCATCTTCATGATGGTGAATGTCATGGCTCTGGTGTATGTCTTGACACTCGGGCTGAGCATCTTCAAGGATGTGTATGTGTTGGCGCCGGTGAATGTGTTGAGATTCGGGCTTCGCAACTATGTATGTGGCGACGCTTGGGCTCCGCTGCTGTGCTGTGCGACCTGCCACCTTTGGGCTCCGCGACCATCTCTTGGGCTTGCTCCGCGACCATCTCTTGGGATGACTACCGATGGTTGGGCTTGTGATGGTGATGAATGCGGTGGAGGAGGTAGCGATGATCGGTACGATGATCAGTACGATGAAAAGTACGATGATGTGGGGCTACTTCATGGACGAGCTCTACAACCTCTTTGTGGTGAAGCCTTGCTGGGCTTCAATGGTGCTGCAAGGGACACGCCTGGTCCCGGGGGAGCTGAAACGCTGGAGGAGATCTATGGCTGTGATTGGGCCGCTCTACTTCCTGGACATCAAGGACCAGCTGCTCTTCTTGGCCGTGGGCATCTGCCCTCTTGCATGCGGCCTGTCTGGCCAATTTTGAATGAGGATCACATCTGTGAGGTTGGGAAAAATGGTTGGCATATGACCCCCAACGCTGTCCAGGATGTTCAACTGTTTTTGGGCTTTTCTCATCCTCATGCAGATCCTTGTAGCTGTGTAGCTAGTACGAATGGTAGTGAAAAAAGGGCTGTGCCCTACAATGTGAAGCCTCAAGGGGTTTCGGAGCTGATTGGTGCCAAGGAGAACTCCGACAGTTCTCAAATCAACAGCCTGACTGGCGATCAAATCTCCAGGCATCAATCGGGTCCAGTAGGACCAAAAAATGACGAGTTTTTGCAGGGTTCGGGTGCCCAGCTGAAGATCCAAGTCCGTAGTGTGAACACTAGCCTTGAAGGGTCAAAATCTTCAGCTGGCGCTGAGAGCCAAGTAGCCGTAGCACCGGTGGAAGGCATGTCTGCCTACGGTGGTAGTTGTAGTGGTAGTTTTGTAGCTGCCATGCTCTTCGCTCTGCCGACGTTGGTGACGGGACAGCCTGGTGATGGTGGTCGCCGTGACCAAGACGGAGACTTTGGGGCATTCCTGTTCTTCTTCGTGCTGCTGGCGGGCTACACTGCGATGGTGATTTTGGGAGTGCTGGCATGCGTCTGGTGCCAACAGCTCCATGGAGAAAGACGACAGGTTGGAGGGAAGGGCGCTGGCAAAGTGCGCAACTACTCCAATCGAGAAATGGATGAATGGTATGGGAACGACGTGGCCAACATCCAATACAGCGATGAGGAGGCGATGCCGACTCCAAGGCTGAGGAGAAGGAGGACCACTGGGAGCTCTTCACGGGGTTCTGGTGATGGTCGAACTACGTCGCCGGCCTTCTCGGAAGCGGACGGGCCGCCAATCCAACACCCGAAGAGGAGGATGACATGCCTGCCATCCCCGAGGACTACGTGCCTACGCCAAGTACTCCTGACCACTGGGCCACTGGGTGCCGATGAGCACGCGCATCCAAGAGCGACGTGATCGAGCTGAAGATGCACTACATGGTGGAAAGGGGAAGGGAAAAGAAAAAGGAAAAGGAAGGGGGGGAAGAGAGATCTTCCGGCCTGGCCAAGGGGCGCGACTTCGCCCGGCTACGCCCTCTCCTTCGGTCTGCCTGGCCGAGGAGAGCCAAGAAGAGACTTCAGTGGCCTCCACGCCGGGGACTGCTGACGTCACGCCTGATGAGGAGGAGGAGGAGGTCGACCCGGCCATTCCGTTCCCTCATGGAGCGAAAGCACCTCCGGCAGCCTGGATGCAAGGACAACGTCCACCAGGGCAGCCGCAAGCTTTCCCGCAACAGCAGGGCCTACAAGGGCCTCAAGCGATGCAGCAGGGGCCAATTGGGCCTCAGCCACAACATGAACTTCAAGGAGCTGAAGGGGCGACGCCAAAAGCCGCTCCGGCTACAGAAGGGGCGACACCAAAAGCCGCTCCGGCTGCGGGCAGCACGGCATCACAGGCCGTTTATGCTGCTGCTGCTGCCGACGATGAACCTCGTGGGGGCGACCAGGCAGAGCCAGCTGGCGAGCCAGGTTTGCCAGATGATGGGCCACGGCGGGGTGAGTCAGACGAAGTACCCCGGCCGACCATCTTCACAGCCGCTTTTGGCACGGTCTATCACGTGAGGCCGAGCTGCGGAAAATTGAAATGCGCCTCGCGCATCTGCAGGCATGAAGCCTTCACGCCTTGTCCCTGTGGACCGCTACAGCGTGGTGGGATGGTCTACATCCTGGATAACAAGTACCACACGGTGAATCATAGCGGATTCCCAATGTCAAGGAGGCCATGTACTGAGTGCGCCGGCTGATTTTAGAGATTGGCCAAGTTGGCCAAGGGGGAGTGCGTTTGGCACTGTGCACATGCAAGCAGCATGGACCCCTGCAGGATGACACGCACAACCATGTGCTCTGACACTTTTTCATGGCTCAAGAAATAGGAGCTGTCATCATTGGGCAGGTGTCTTGGGGACCTAAAGGGTTGCTCTAGCACTTAAGACCCATACCCGAAGCCCCCGTTCGTAACCGCAATTTTAAACAACTATATAAATAAGTAAGCGGTAAAATCCGTAAAAAGCAAGTATTGTCCGCAAACATCCGCAAACTACTGTTAATCACCCGGAAAGTTGGTGATAATGGCATACAATGGCTGTATGGATCTTGTTTGAAAAGCTTGGTGGATTTCAGTGGTTCTGGGAGACGACACCGCCTCATTCAGCGAAGATCCAGATCCTGTAGAGCATGGACATCCAATCCATGAGAATATCATGTCACAGACCAAAATCCGGGCGAGGAGACCCGGGGTCAAGACTGGTCACAATCTTGGTATCCCGTGACTGAGATGACCGCCAACGATTCTTTCACGGCATCGACAGAAGAGCAGAACCTGTAGACAGTTTTGCCCGAAGCTCGGCGTTTGGGGATGCTTAGAAAAGTGGCAGTGGATGTGCAGTCAACTACGTTTGAGAGATATGTTTTTGACTGAGGGAAGAGGTAGAGATGTCCCGGTTGCCGTTGTGTAGTACGAGATGCTCAGCCCTGCAACATTCATACAGTGGTGTCCTTGGAGTGCTTTGGTGATCTTTTGATGGTGTTTTGCTGGTG